AGTAATCTGATTACATAACTCACGTTACTTGTAATGCGTTACCCCCAACACTGTTCAAAGACAGTGTTTCTGGGCCTAGTTTCTAAATTGTCTAAAAAATATGGACTATTTCTTGCCATTTACACCGTCTAAAGCCTCGTACACACCAGGACGATTATCGTGCACGTTTATCGCCAACGTTTTTCGACGCGTATTTTGTGTTCATACCAAGCGATTTTCGCTGGTGATGAGCCGAGTGAACGTGCAAATTCACTCCTGACATTAGATGGCGCTTAATGAAAAACAGAAATACCCCGGTACACATCGAATCCTATTTGATCTGCAATTCCTCTCCATAATAACTCCCTCTTATCGAGATTTTTGTAGTCGCTGTCGCGTTTGTCGTAAAGCCCTTTGTGTTCAGACACCAATGAGACCAGCAGCTCTACATTCATCTTGCCTCGATGCATCTTCATGGTCTACTTACTTCCTCTTCGTCGTTAGGTATCAATGTGTGCTCGGCAAGACCGTTTTGTGCTTGAGCGCCACCAAGTCGTGTTTTACTGTAACTTCAGCAGCTCCAGGCATGTGAACAAAAGCGCCAATCTCATTGGTCGGCCAGTTTTTAACGCGGCGCGTCAAACCAAAAAAACGAGCCCGAGGCGTTTTTTTAAAAATGACGCTTTTACGCCTCGCGTTTTGCGCGTTGGTGTGCACACTCACATTGGCGCCCTTCGTTTAGTCACGAGGCGTTAAATGTCGGCGATAATTCATCCCGGTGTGAACAAGCCTTAAAGTGGAAATGCAGCAGTCAGTCAAGTTTACATTATTTAGTAAAGTGATTTCCACTTTGATTAAAAAATAATGCCAAGTGTAAACGCAGCCTAAGACAGGGTTCCTCAAATCTTGCCCTGGAGGGCAGGCCCGAATTAGGAATTCAGAGGCCCCTGGGTACAATGTCTTGTTGGGCCCCCCCACATCCACACACGGACACACACACGTGCACAATCAAGGTTTTAAATTATAGGGTACTATATGTTGGAAACACCTCTAGCTTATTTACACTCACATGTTACAGCCTATGATCGCATCCTCTATCATACAGGATTTACATCACATGATTGCAATGCTTTCCTGGACCAGCAGCAATCTTTGCAACAAGTGTACATAGTAGTAATTATGCTATCATATTACACCAAATACACAAAATAATGTTCTTTTTAGCAGCATCATATGACCCCTTTAATGTAAAGACACTCCAACATTTTTTTCCTTCCCCTCGCTTGGGCCCCAAGTGCGCATGGGCCCCTGGGCCTGTGCCCATAATGCCCATTGGATAATCCGGCCCTGCTGGAGGGCCAATGCGCTGCAGAGTTTATTTTCAACCCTGATCAAACTCACCTACCTGTGATTTTCTAATAATCCTGAAGACATTGATTAGCATGCTCTGGTGTGTTTGATTATGGTTGGAGCTAAACTCTGCAGGAAAGTGGATCTCGTGGGCCAGATTTGAGGATCCCTGCTTTAAGAACTCAATAAGTGAGTTTACATGCACGTTAATAAGCCGACAACGGTCATGTAAATGCTGTAACCCGTTTTCTTTTATCGAAATAAGGTCATAAACGGTGTAAGCATAAATTCTGCACAGGTTTTGTGTGGCATGTAAACAGACTAACCTGCTTTCTGTCGGCTTATTGAAGTGCGCATGATTTAAAAAAAAAAAGGGTTCTCATCTCGTGCAGCATGCGAAACTTACAGCTCATATATTATCCTCTCATGCGGTTGCAGATGCAGCGTTTTGACTGCACCACTTCTACATCTGCAACTGCATGAGAGGATAATATATGAGCTGTAAGTTTCCCGTTCCTGTGAGTTATCAGCTTACTAATGTGCTTGTAGATGTGCACAATGATGCATGACAACCACAAACACACTTAAGATTATGACAAATCGTTTTTGAAGAATAATTGTTTATTTGAATTAATAATAATAGTAAACGTAGATTACTGTTCAAAAGTTTGGGCCCAGTAAGACTTTTTTTTATAGAAATTGTTTTTATTCGCTCATATATTATCCTCTCATGCGGTTGCAGATGCAGCGTTTTGACTGCACCACTTCTACATCTGCAACTGCATGAGAGGATAATATATGAGCTGTAAGTTTCCCGCTGACATGTTGCAAGCTTTATTTAACAACACAACTGACAACATATGGAATACTCAGTCAGATATGCAAATGGTTAGTTAGGTTTTGACGTCACTACAGGGAAATAACCTGATTTATTAATTAAGTCATGTAAACGCAGTTGTACTGATGTGCATGTAAACGGGGAGAACTGGTTATTTTAAAGGTCCCATATTGTACACCTTTCTGGAGTTTTATTTGAGGTTTTGATGTCCTAAGTTTCCCGTTCCTGTGAGTTATCAGCTTACTAATGTGCTTGTAGATGTGCACAATGATGCATGACAACCACAAACACACTTAAGATTATGACAAATCGTTTTTGAAGAATAATTGTTTATTTGAATTAATAATAATAGTAAACGTAGATTACTGTTCAAAAGTTTGGGCCCAGTAAGACTTTTTTTTATAGAAATTGTTTTTATTCAGCAAGGACACATTAAATTGATCAAAATTGACCGTGAAGACATTTATTCTTACAGAAGTGTTCTGCTTCAAATAAATGCTGTTTTATTTTCTATTGATACACAGAAAAAATTTATCATGGTGTCCACAAAAATAATAAGCAGCACAACTTTTCAAGATAACAATGAATTATTGTCGACAATAAAGTACCAAATCAGCATTTCCGCATGGAAGATAAGTAATGGCTGCTGAAAATTCAGCTTTTCCATCACAGGATTAAATAGTTTTATGTTTTTAAATATATCAAAATAGATTATTTTTTAATTATAATAATATTTCACAATATTATTGTATTTTTGATCAAATAAATGCAGCCTTGGTGAGTATAGAAGACTTCTTTAAGAAACATGAATTAATGGTTATTGTCTTTTATCAGGGGTGGCGAACGTCGGTCCTGGAGAGCCGCAGCCCTGCAGAGTTTTGCTTCAACCCTAAACAAGCTAATCAAGGTCTGAAGGGTTAACTAGGAAGCAACAGGCAGGTGAGTTTTAATCAGGGTTGGAGCTGAACTCTGCAGGGCTGCGACTCTCCAGGACCGGAGTTCACCACCCCTGTCTTATATCATATTGGTATTGCCACCATGTTTTTACAGTGATGTTACCATAGTTAAATTAGCTTTAGGCATTTTGCCTAATGATACTGCTTAGTGCTTACCCATGGCAAAATCACTGTAGGCACAGCTGAGAGAGTGAAAAACATTTCCTGATATTAACATTTTCCAGTTTTCAGATTGAAATGCTAGTACTGATACATTTCAATACTGTATATCCTTGTTAATACTGGCATTTCCCTGTTTAGTTAAATGGCAGCAATCAGAAGAATTTAAGATGTGTGCGATTTATTTTGATGTAATGCCACAACACAGATGTCATAGCTTTTGTTTACCAACTGTTTCTGTTGTGTCCGTTACAGTCAAGGGGATGGACATTCTTTCCCCTTCAGATGGCAGATGTCATCTCACAGTCATTCAGTGATGAATGGAAATGGACATTATGCCATGGAAGGAAGTGTGGGTAAGACATTTTCTGAATCATATTTCATAAGTCAGTCAATTGTGTTTATTGGTTAATCATTTAGAGCCTAGTTTGCCGGTTTGTAGAGTTATCTAATTTTGTGTCACTGCTGTAATCAGAATGGTTTGGTAAATCTTTTATTTAGAGGGAGACCGAATTTATCCCAGTTCTCACGCTGTCTCTGAAGGTGATCTCCTCTCTGCTTCTGTCATTAACTTAAGTGTGCTATCACAAAGAGTAGGATTACGAACACACTTACTTTAAAATTACTCTACTGATGTAAAACAAACTCCAAATAGCACTAAGAATAGTCTTTTTTTTTTTTAATTCTCAGTAACTGGCCGTTTAAGAGAGAAATATATGGAAGCTTTTATTGTAATACAAACATTTTTTATTTTGCAATTCAAGTAATTTTGGAAAAAAGAGGTTCAGACTGCTGGTTTATACTGCCCCCTTGAGGCCAAACCAGGGCTGCACAACCTGATCGAAAATTCTGATTTGAGCTATTTGTCTGTCTCATTCTGTGCTGCCATCAGTCTCACCGGAGGGGGTCTCTGTTACCATAGCAGTGGATGACTAGCAGTAATGAAATAAGGTATGAGAAATGATTGTTCTGCTTTTCAAGGACACCTCCAAAGCAGCAGCATTCAAGTATTCAAATTGTTATATAATATAAACTGTTCTTTGTATTTGTAGGTTGACAGAATGTGTCATGTGACGTCGTCACAGCGAGTCTCTCAACTGGGGCGATTTTAGAAAGATCTCAATCATAGGTTAAGCTTACAGGAGTGGTGGGAGGCCCTCAGGGAGACGATGAACAACTGCCTGCATGCTCAGTTTTCACCTGAAACACTTCCTGCAGGAGCGATCAGGTCTCTGAAACCTCTCTTTTACTGATCAGGGTGTGAGAGAGCTTTATCAGGTGTCCCTGCTGAGTGACAATGTTTTAAATTCATTATTTTGTGGTGAAATGTAATTTGGTGTTTTGTATGAACTGAATAACAGATTTTATAAAAAAAAAAACAATTTAATACAAAATATTTTATTTGTATTTTTTTTTCTGTTTGCTTCACTCTAGAATGTTTAGGAACAGTCTAGAACACAGTCTGTTTTAATCCTTGTGGCATCATGGATAAGCACATGTATTTGAAAGATTATAATACACTTGCTCACATTAAGCATGGGTAAATCCATAACCACCAATAAAAATACAGAGGCCAGCCCTGATAAACCAATCACACATACACAGAGACACTTTCTGTTGGCTTTACCAGATGAATGAAAAAGAAAAGAAAACAAAACATGCAAGCCACTTCAGCTGAATCCAAGTGAACGTGTGTGCAGTTGCTGGGTTGTCAGTCTGTGCCGAAATACCTCTGGCCGAAGTGTGTCGGAGCAACGGCGTGAACTTCAGTTGTCAGTATAGTGATGTTAGGAAACTCCTGAACAATAGATTGTGCACCTGCACACAGCATTATTTAAAAATGGACTTTATATATAGGAAGAAATAAATGTTAAAAAATGATCAAATTAAAACTAAAGTGACAGTAAAGACATAAATACAAAAAAATATCATTTATAATAATATAAATAATTTTCAACACTGATAATAATAAAAGTTTCTTGAGATACTTGAGGTGCTAAAAATTCTGCTTTTCCACCTCAGTAATAAATTACATTGTAAAAAAATATTAAAATGGAACAGTTATTTTAACTTGTAATATTTCAAAATATTGCACATTTTACTGTATTTTTGTAAATAAATGCAGCCTTGGTGAGAAAAAACTACCAACCCCAACTTTTTGAATGGTAGTGTATATAAATTATACATGTCAAAAAATTATTATAAATGAGTGAATATATTCCAAATACTGGGATTAGGTTTACAGTTAAGTTTGCATCGTTTTATAATTTTTTTCTTTCTTTATTTGAGAACTATTAATATGTACTAAGAAGATAGTTAAAATAATACAGATATTTGTCATGTAATTGATACATAAATGGGAATACAGATCAAGTCTTTACTGTGTTTGTGTGTCTTACCGTGTGGAGTGGAGAATAGACTCAGTAGTATGATATGTTTGGCCAGCAGGCCGTGTTCATTCAGCACCCGCACCGCTTCTATTACAGTGTTGCCTGTACCTGAACACACATTTACACAACAATGAATTGTGCCTTTTAATGCCATTTTTGGAGTACTTACAGGTAGGCCCAGATGAAATTGCAATTCCTGTCATTCTCATTCATTCTTTTTCAACAAATGATTTATACCATGACCCCAAATCAGTGCAGAATATGCAAAAGAAAATTCACAGATTCTATGCAAGACGGTTTTATGCCTTGTTATAGAGGTCAAGTACTCACTAAGTATAGGGTACATGAGCAGAACCTTCCTTCTGCTGATGTCAGGAGGGAACTTTGCATAGTAAACTTTGGCCTTTTGTGTCTCCTCATCACTCTGGATCAGAATCTTCCCAATACGTATTGACCTGCAGCAATCTCTTAGGCCTTGCTCCATGGCCTCACCTGCTCACACAATACACGCGTTTTGTTTTAGTATTGTATTAGTATAAAGGGCATGCACACACCAAGTCTGTGTGTGTGTGTGTATGAATGTGTGTGACAAAGAGACTTACCACTCCTCATGATGCTAACCCCACAGTTTCCCTTTTCAAACTTCACACCCTCATATTTATGTCCTGCATAAGGAACATAGAATGAAGCTTTGTTTTTGCACAAACTCAACAGCTGATGGTGGCAGTGTTATATTAATATGCAAAAGGATTACAATGAACTGGGGGAATTAATCGGCATGGTAACAGGCTTACCTGTTGGTGTGGTTACAGTGCATTCACTGTAGGGAAGCTGATTGAGACCCTCCTCCACCACTAATCTTATCTGGGAGCAAAACAAACAACCAATCTGATTCAAATTGAAGGGTAGCAAACAAAATACAGAACATAAGAGCCACTAATTTTACAACACAAAAACAATCAAGTGGATTCTTCAATAATATAGTAAAATTAAAAAAAAGGAAATCAGGGACTGTGTGAAATGCAATCAACCATACATTCATATGTCTTGATTGAAAAATTACTAAATGCAAGCTGCCTTTATTTACAAGGCCTTCAATAAAGATAATAGCTGGTTATAAACCATTAGTTTGATATGTTGACATTTAAACACAAGACTACTACCATTTTTTAACAGTTTTTGGTGATGCTTACCAATCTGTCCGCACAGAACACAAAATCACCTCTACTGGTAGTTCTGAGTGAAACGGAAAGAGGAAAAGTCACAATGTGATGACTTGTTGCAATATATGATACATGTGCAACAAAATGACATGAGATTATATCCCAGTTTATTCCGTGTACATTTTAGATACATTCTGATAAGTTACAGGTTTATGTTATTGTACACATGCTGTGGTGTATAGGTGCATATGATAAGATCTGGGCTAAATATGGGACACGCACTCAATTGCAAATCCGGTTGAAAGGCGGACTGGACACTCACTTATCTCGAATGATTGTCTGAAGTTCTCGTATTTGGTCATTTAATGGCAAGAGTTTCAGCTGAGGTCCTATTTGTCGCTGGATGTCGCTCATGGTTTGGTTTTCACACGGTTTCGTGTCATCTTGACAGGGCTCGGCAGCAGCGCTGCTGCGGGCGAAGCGGACGTGCTTCGCAGCGTGTTCGGGGCTCTCACTGTTATTCAGCTGCTGGTTATGGCACGGCATATTCTCGATAAAATCCGTTTCCATAGGACTAACACGAAAAGAAAAGAAAAAAACACTACACCAAACCACCTGGTCCACTTAAATGATGGCTGTTCCACGGACGATGTGTTCAGTGTATCTACCACTCTCTCGCCATGTCTACAGCTGAGCGGAGGAGACGCATGATACATGACGCACGCTCCCGGGAACAACAACCTGACGTCATATCCCCTGTTCACATGATTGGATAGAAATCATGCCAGTCTAAAGCTCATTGGCGTAAGGGGCGGGACACTGCGGCCCTCATTCAAGCAAACCCGTCAGAGGCGCTGCACAAGTGACTGGATGAGCAGCAAATTGTGGTGCTTTTAATACATCATGATTTAATAAGGGTAATTACAAGGTTAAATATAACAAATGCTATCATAAATAATAATCTCACAGGACAATGATTCAACACACCAACAAATAGTGCAGCAAACAAACGGTAAATGATTTGTACATGTGTTATACAAATTCCAATAAATATTTACGTACGTCAAACACACAAAAAAGAGCTATATATATATAGTATTTGTGTGTTTGAATAAAGACAGAAAGGTTGCAATTGTCTAATTTACAAGAACAAATATTTTTTTACATGTTTTTTTTTTTGCTTTTCTACATGGCTTTCAAATCCCTCGCTCTATTTATTTTATTTATTTATGTATTTGTTTTGTTTGTTTAGTAACTGTGCATGTAATACCAGTGTCATAAACAAAGATTTTATTTTCAATATGATGGATTTTTCTGAATTATGGATTTCAAATTCCCTCGCTGATATGTATTTGTTTGTTTGTTTATAATGTAACTGCGTATATAATACCAGTTTGTCTATGGGAAGTAAACTAAATCTGCAGAGACCCCTAGCTGGTGTTTGGAGCTCGTAAAGCATAAGTGCGCATGCGTGCGCCTCTGCACCTGTTCAGCGGTGCCGCGCGCTCCCGATTCCTCAGCGCGCCGCCGTGCAAAATATGGGGGCGCGCTCTTTATGGCAGGTCTCAAAAGAGGGGGAGCAGCAGCGCACGAGCGCGCCGTCGTTGTCAGGGACGGACGGGGTACAGCTGGGAAAAACACATACACACACACGCACACCCCCGTCTCCGTCACACACGCACATAAGCCAAAAACAAAAGCGACTCTAAAGGAGGAGAGAGCGGAACGGTAGAGCAGGAGCATGCGGCGAGGAGCAGGGGCTGCAGCAGACCTTTGTTTGTTTCCTGGAAACCCTGGAGCGCGAGGGAATAAAATGGAGTGGTAGGGGCTCCGAGGCGCGAGAGGCGCGTCCACCTGCTGCTACCGGGGAGGCAGTCCGGGCTCGCGAGAGAGGAGGAACATGGTGAGACCGCTGCATTGAAGAGGGTTACAAAAAACAACAACATATGACAACATTCCACACGCCGAGCGATCAAACGGAGTCTTAAGTGCGGGCGGGACGTGCTGCCCCGGGTGTAACGGGAGGTGAGTATGTGGGCTGCGCGTGTATGTGTACGTGATGCGGTGAGTGGGCCAGTGTCTGACGCGCGTCAAACGCTGCAATGAGGAGAAATGGTGGAGCGAGTGTCAGCTGTCATGAGGCGTCCATATTGCACAGGTGTGATGAAGAGTAGTAATGGCTCAGTGTCCTGCAGAAGCTATGAGTCGCAGGCCGTCGTTTGAGGGGACAGAAAGCATTGGTGCTCATGACGAATACGTGAGGCAAACACACACACTCTCTCTCTCTCTCTCTCTCTTACACACCATCCTCCCTAAGCCAAGGCCACAGCTATATACGCACTCTTTCACAGACAGCAATAACACGAACGCTGTCATGTGGCGATATTCTATATGTGCCGTTTTACGGATTTTCATTTTCCCTGCGTTTTGCTTGCAGTCGGCGCGCGCGGCACAGCGCCTGCGACCGATGCGGCATTTGGCGATGGGAGATGCAGAATAGCAGAGCACGTATCATAGCGCACCAGGCCTTCAATAATTAAGGGTGGGCTTAAACCTGTTACGTCTCTCTGAATAATGTAAATGCTCTGGGTTATCCGAGATGTTGAAAGCGTGCTCATCTTTCAGGCTCTTGATGTCATCATGTTTAGAGTATGGAGGAGCTGTCGGTCACCGGACACCTGTCCTGGGAAGATGTTATGGAAGTTTCTTTGATGCTGTCAAGCTGCACCTTACGCGTTGGGCTATAACAGAGCTAAAGTTCTGTCGTGCACAGCTTGAACCACCAAAATCAATTACGCAATCAGTCAATTGACGAAACAATCAATCAGAGGGTACGCTTAGGTCTGTTTGTTTTCCACACAGAAGCCAGACTTGCAGTCAGTTTAAACCTTCTACCTTAAGTTAAGTAGTCAGTCAGTGTAGTAATGCTTTCTGTGACATGGATGGATGGGTGGGTGGGTGATATTTTGGTTGCTTGTCTGGCAGATTGACCAAGGACAGATTGCAGCAGATTTATTGATCCGAGAAAAATATCAAACAAACTCAACAAAAAGGAAAAAAAAAATGCCGACATGGATTTGGTCTCTCCTTCTCTCTCTCTTTTTATGCGTCTTTCTCTTTCTCTCTAGCTCTCCACCTCTCTCTCTCTCTCTCTCTCTCTCTCTTCTGTAATTCCATTGTCTGTCTCTTGGGTGGATGTTGAAGCTGAATAAATATTAATTTCGTTTTTAATAAAAGCAGTTTGCAGACAGTGCCACTGCCCTGTTCTCTCTCTCTGTCTGCAAAGCTGGCAAGAATTAGCCCAGCCATGGTGTTCTCAGAACAGCCCTTGGCTTTTTCTCATACTGTTACTGGTTTGGAAGGAGCAAATCCTATATTATTATAGTCATTTCCAAATCCGAATGTTTTTAGTGTGTAACAGTGTGTGTTGTTGAAAAGGGGTGTTATGGAATTTTCTATTACTTGGATTTATTCTGCCATCAAGCCTGATGTCTAAACACAGATGATATTCTGAAATGATCCAGGGAATGTAAATATTTACTGTGTATACTTTTAAATAAGACAAATGTGTTTACAGTAGCAGTTATTGAAATAGTTAGGCCATAACCACAATGGATTTGAAAGTAATGGTAAGTTGTATATGCTGAAATAGTAATCATAGTAAATGCTGATGTCTTTATGGGAAAAATCCGTTATTATCAACTGAAATCTGAAAGTTTTAAAATGATTTAAAGTTTAAAAATTTTAAAGTTTTAAAATTCTGCACCTATCCACTGCAGTTTCATATGGAACTCCAAGCGATAGGCTATTGAAATTTGATTTATTTTAAATTGTTTAAATAACATCTATATTTGAAGCTTATATAGAAAAATAATAATTAAATTGGAGCAGCAAACCTTGAGCACTGAAATACATAATGCCCACTCAACAATTTCAATACTCGTGTAATTCATAAATCTTCAGTATAGGTCAGTTCTGAATTCCTATGTAAATTCACATCGTGGGAACACTTCAAACAGTGTACTAGAGATCAGCATTTCTCCCCACAGCATAAGCAGTGCTGTCATGTTTATTTATTTATTTTTTAAATAAAAAACTGCATGTCTTTTTACTTGCATATATGGCACACTATTCTGACACATGCACACACAGCCTGAGGCAAGAGAGAGTGCACTTTCTTTTCTCTTTCTCTGCTGTTATAAAGCTCTTTTATTTCTTTCACATCCTCAAGAGTTGTACTTCACAGTGAAGGGCAATCAGAGGACAGAATGATGTAAAACAATACAACTCACTGTAATGCTGAAGAGTAAGAGAGAGACAGAAAGTAAAAAAAAAAACAGGACAAAAATCGAGAGAATTCTGATTTGTAACTCGTACTTAGCATGATGAATAAAAAAATGATCTTTGAATTGTGGGAATTTAAACTGAATTTTAAGTTTTGAAAATACTGATGTTTTTCTGTGGGGGTTTTTTTCTGGTCAAGTACCACTAAATTCTCAACAGTCATTCTTAATCATTAAGCTGATGATAATCTTTTAAAGGAATAGTTCACCCAAAAATGAAAATTAATCTCACCAACATGCCGAAATCTCTAAAAATTCTGTATGCCTCTATGACTTAATGGAACAGAAAAGAAGTTTATGAAAATATTCTAGGTTCTCTTTCTATTAAATTACTATTTTCTGAAACTTTTTAAAAACCCTCTTATCTCTCTCATCTTTTCAGCATTCCACTTCTGCTGTAGGTTGTGTACTAGTCTTATACTTGCCACTGTGTACTGCAAATAATTTTGGCAACTATGACAAACTGCTTGAGATGTTAATCATTTTGGATCTCTGCTAAATGAAAATCATTTAATCATTTGTCATCTGCTAAATGTTAATCATTTTGGATATCTGCTAAATGAATAAATATAACTTTAACACCTTAACAATACTATTGGTTTATCAGTTTATCTGTCAAATCTAGATTTTGCAAGGTTTTTAAATAGTCTTCAGTGCTGACAGCTTTCTGTGTGTGTGTTTCTACAGGCTGGACAGTGGTAATTATGTTAGTGAGAGAGAGATTCAGTTCAGATTGATGGATGTTCTACAGGAGTCCCGATTCTCAGGGGCAGATCGCAGCCCCTGCCCAAGAGATGCTAGTGAAAATGGTAGGTGTTCCCATGCACATATAAAATGCAGCATTTTACACAATTATGTATTTACTATGAAATATTATATTTTAACTATAATTATCTGCACATTGTTTAAAAAATCTAATTGATTTCAGTGTAATATATAAAATTCCTCTTTATATCTATATATACATATATTTACAAATGTTTGCCAGGAAAAATATGCATTTTACCTTAAGGATCTTTCTCTTCCTCTTCTTTTTTTTTTTTTTTTATAGAACCACATGACCCATTGGCAGATATGTCACATGATCTAAGGCGCTGTGATGACATCGCTCCTGCAGCGCTGTCCCTGGCCTCCCTCTGTGGCCAGAGTCAGACCTCTGTAGGTCCTCTTAGCTCAGCTGACCTGCATGATGGGTCTGTCTCCAACACAACCTCTCTCTCCTCTCTCTCTTCATTCTCCTCTCTTTCCTCACTTTCATCTCTCTCTTCTGTGCCCTGTTCCAAACCTGTGACTCCCTGGTCTGTGCCGCAGACCTGTGACAGGTCATCCTTCTCTAACATGGACTCCAGGGGCAGAGACTGCCTTAGCTGTCTGATCCCCAAAAATCCGACA